AAAATTGCAAAGCGGAAAACTCTTGGTCTTCAAAACACCAGCTGTAGTGGAAAAGAAGTCACAAAAGCCCTGAGCAATGGAGGATGTGTTTGACGTTTTAGTTCCGTTTATATTTATAGCTGCTGCAGATCCTGTTGTAATTTTTGTTGGGTACAACTTCTTGATCGCTGGCCAAAATTTATCTGGGGCAGAGGCTTTGTCTTGCATTAGATCTTTATAGTAATTGCTCTTACATTTTTTCACTTGGCTATTCACTTTGTTGCGTTGTCGTTTGTAAGATGACCAGTGGCTTTACAACAAATGATTGATAAGAAAAAGTCAGATGTTTTCATTTTTTTTAGGTGATTTTGTCCAGTAATTAACCCGGGACAAATTTTGTCGGCGTTGCCTCTAAAGATTGTCCTGTCTGCACAGGTAGCCCAAGCTCGAAATATGAGCATCGGCGAGCATCGGCATTGTTGCGCAACATTCAAAATATAAGGATTTGTATGGGAAAAAACCTGTCGTTTCCGTAACCTACGAAAATGAAAGGATTTCAATAAAAAAACAGCTTACCTTACTTAAAATGTGTGTTACGTCTCTCCTGTGTGGTCTACGGGCCGATTTATGGCCGTTTTATGGGTTTTCATGTAAACGGTTCTCTCTCTATATAAAGGTTTAGAGAAAACCGTTTGCATAAAAACCCATAAAACGACCATAGATCGGCCCGTGGACCACACAGGAGAGATGTAACACACATTTTAAGTAAGGTAAGCTGTTTTTATTGAAATCCTTTCATTTTCGTAGGTTACGGAAACGATAGGTTTTTTTCCCATACAAATCCTTATATTTTGAATGTTGCGCAACAATGCCGATGCTCGCCGATGCTCATATTTCGAGCTTGGGCTACCTGTGCTGTCTGGGGCAAAATTTATAAAATGATGACAAATCATCCGCATTTTGTAAAGCATTGGTGAAGTGACAGAAAATTTGTCTAAGACAGCTTTTGCGCTAGTGCAGATAGGCCCTTGGTCAAATTATTGCAAGCTGGTTGTGAAGATTTGGGCAGGGGACTCGAGCCATTCAGAAACGGGGAAATATTTTGAGTAAAATATAATTAATATGACGAATAATGTTGTCTCGCAAAGACGTTAAATTTACATGTATACGCACTTTCGGAACGTTAACATTTATTTTCCTTTTTGTTCTTTAAAGTTCACCTATTTAAGATACACTGTCTGGGGGGATCAATAATAAAGTTAATTTGCTAATTACTATTCTTATTATTTTCATTTTAGACTACAAAGAAAGGACAAGGCTACCTTTATTTAATATTTTAAAACATGGAGGATTATTCCAGTGCAGAATTAAAAGCTTATGTTAAAGATGACGGTGGAGTAGTAAATTTGGATCTAAGTAGAAAAGGACTCTCCAGGATACCTGATGCAGTCGCTGAACTGACTGAAGTGGAGGAACTCAAACTGAACGTCAATAACCTGACTGAATTACGAACAAGTATAAACAAGCTGAAAAATCTTGTCAGACTCCACTTGAATTATAACAGACTTACAGAACTTCCTTCTGAGATTGGTGACTTAAAGGAGCTGAGGATGCTCTATGTGAGTGACAACCAGTTGGTTAGTTTACCTACCAGTATACAGAAGCTGAACCAGCTTGAGGAGCTGCACTTGTATGATAACAGACTTACAGAACTTCCTTCTGAGATTGGTGACTTAAAGGAGCTTAGGGGGCTCTATGTGAGTCGTAACCAGTTGGTTAGTTTACCTACCAGTATACAGAAGCTGAACCAGCTTGAGGAGTTGCACTTGTATGATAACAGACTTACAGAACTTCCTTCTGAGATTGGTGACTTAAAGGAGCTTAGGGGGCTCTATGTGAGTCGTAACCAGTTGGTTAGTTTACCTACCAGTATACAGAAGCTGAACCAGCTTGAGGTACTAGACTTGAATAATAACAAACTTACAGAACTGCCATCTGAGATTGGTGACTTAAAGGAGCTGAGGAGCCTGGATGTGAGTAGGAACCAGTTGGTTAGTTTACCTACCAGTATACAGAAGCTGAACCAGCTTGACGAGCTGATCTTGTCTGGTAACAAACTTACAGAACTGCCATCTGAGATTGGGGACTTAAAGGAGCTAAGGAGTCTGGATGTGAGTAACAATCAGTTGGTTAGTTTACCTACCAGTATACAGAAGCTGAACCAGCTTGACGAGCTGATCTTGTCTGGTAACAAACTTACAGAACTGCCATCTGAGATTGACTTAAAGGAGCTGAGGAGTCGGGATGTGAGTGGTAATCCTTATTCTATGGATGCAATACATGCTCTAGAGATGAAGAAAAAGGGAATGATCAGTTCGGTTATTACAGGTTGGTGTGGGAATAATTTTCAATGAAATTGTCATCAATAAGAGTTTTTAGAATGGTACTTTTATTATATATAGATGGAAAATATTTCAATTTAAGTAGTGCCATTATTTTTGTCTTTGTTTTTAATAAGGCTCGAGCAAAATTGAAAATAACCAAACGAAACCTTCCTTCATACTTTGTCTAATTAGTTGTTAATAGTTTCAGATGAAACTACTCACTGTGGCATTTGCTTGACTGCCATCAAAAACCTGCGCTGAGCATCAGTGGGGAAAAGTTTGGGCCGAATTTTTGAAACAAATACGTATAGTTAAATTCCTTTTACTTCATATGAACATGCCATCCTTTCTCGCAACAAAAACGTTATCAGTTTTTCTACACGCCCCTCCCCCGCCCACTGATGACCTCTGTTCATTGTCATTTACAAGAGGAAGGGAAAATGTTTTTTGACAAGGCTAAAAAAGACATTTATGAACAAAAGTTGTAACAAAATGTAAATATTTTACCCGATGGCTTTTTGCACTGCAAGCAAATTTCAGAGGATTATTTACTTCGAGTCGTTTTTCCTTTCAGCAACAGAGAGAAAACTAAAGTATTAAATCGTCTGAAGCTCAGGCTAATTAAAATGTAGACTTGAGAAAAATTAGTTCTTTTGTGCAACTGTTTTTCGCCGGTGTATCTTTCTTTTAATGCCATTGGGGCGATATTAAGTGAGAGCCTATTAACAGTTTTTATTTCAACAGTCAGTTATCGAGTAGAATGACGATTATTGCTGTTCAAAACAGGGTTTTTGTGGTTAGTGGTTAATTTACGCAAATAACTGTCCCCAGATAACTTAACAGGATCTAATATGTTTTCCAGCAAAAGAGCCAAATTCGAATGGACCATTTAGCAATTACTCAGGGGCACCCAATGACAGTTTCCTCCCACATACATTGAAAACCCTTTCTAGGCTATCCAGGGTACTTTTATATCTTTAGAAATGCATTGTAATCGGCGCTACAGAATTTGAATCTATTCGGTCTAGCCTGCGTGGCAGGCGCAGAAAGGGGAGGGGGAGGGAGAAAAGCGCGAAAGCGGGGAAAAGGGAAGGGAGCCCCTTACCAACTCTCCTCAATCCCCCTTCCCTATTTCCATTCCTCCCTATCCCCTACCTTTTTCGAAGCCTGCTACGCAGGCTAGTTCGGTTATCCTAGGGCAACTTAAGTCTTTTCGAAATTACAAGGGCTTCAGTATTATTTTCCCGACAATTTTAGGTGCAATTTAAAGTTTTACGAAAGTAAGAATTCTCTCGGATTCGAAAATGTGATGGACCATCACATTTTCGAGTCCGAAAATTTTAGGTTTCCTTTTTCTACGAAAAATTGCTTAACCTGGGGAGTGAAATGGGCGAAATTAAACTTTACAAAATCGTAGGGAATTTATTAGATAAGCCGCTTCGAAAATTTTAAATGAATGGAGTGGTCATCTAGAAAGTTTTAGCCTTCCTTTCCTTAAGCTATAGAAACTTTTAGGCAATTTTTGCTTCTCCGAACAGATATTTTACAGAAAACAGTCATTGGGTGACCTTGATTATTGAATGAGGGTGAGTATGATGTGAAGAAGTTTGCAGATCGACGAGGATTTTAGGTGGATAACANAAAGAGCCAAATTCGAATGGACCATTTAGCAATTACTCAGGGGCACCCAATGACAGTTTCCTCCCACATACATTGAAAACCCTTTCTAGGCTATCCAGGGTACTTTTATATCTTTAGAAATGCATTGTAATCGGCGCTACAGAATTTGAATCTATTCGGTCTAGCCTGCGTGGCAGGCGCAGAAAGGGGAGGGGGAGGGAGAAAAGCGCGAAAGCGGGGAAAAGGGAAGGGAGCCCCTTACCAACTCTCCTCAATCCCCCTTCCCTATTTCCATTCCTCCCTATCCCCTACCTTTTTCGAAGCCTGCTACGCAGGCTAGTTCGGTTATCCTAGGGCAACTTAAGTCTTTTCGAAATTACAAGGGCTTCAGTATTATTTTCCCGACAATTTTAGGTGCAATTTAAAGTTTTACGAAAGTAAGAATTCTCTCGGATTCGAAAATGTGATGGACCATCACATTTTCGAGTCCGAAAATTTTAGGTTTCCTTTTTCTACGAAAAATTGCTTAACCTGGGGAGTGAAATGGGCGAAATTAAACTTTACAAAATCGTAGGGAATTTATTAGATAAGCCGCTTCGAAAATTTTAAATGAATGGAGTGGTCATCTAGAAAGTTTTAGCCTTCCTTTCCTTAAGCTATAGAAACTTTTAGGCAATTTTTGCTTCTCCGAACAGATATTTTACAGAAAACAGTCATTGGGTGACCTTGATTATTGAATGAGGGTGAGTATGATGTGAAGAAGTTTGCAGATCGACGAGGATTTTAGGTGGATAACAGCCTCCGTGATCTGCATAATTCTTCACATCATATGAAAGCTGCTTCCAATTTTGGGCTGACGTAACGTACAAATGTCTGATTACCACTGTAGTGCAGATGCAGTTATTTTGAATGTAACAACTTCTGTGGCACCTAGTTCTCGGGGGACGGGGTACCCCGGATTTCAAGTTACGGGGATGCTCGAATGCGGACAAAAATCAACCCTCCCCCCCGCCCCGAAAAAAACCCAATAGGGTTTCTTACAAAACCCCAAAAATCCCTGCACAAAAATTAACCCCCTCCCCCCGCCCCCCAAAAAAATATCCATGCCGAATATTAGTGAGAGCCTTCTCGCTATCAACACTCGAGACACCCAAGAAAATCTTCTGTTTCATCACTAACATTATGCAGAATGACAACTTCAGATTGTTTTGAATACGCAAAAAAATACCCACGTAAATCAAAATTTTCGTAACCAAAAATTACCGGAATCGAAAATTTCAAACCCACCTCAAAACTTCGATCATCCCCGTCACTTGAAATCCGGAGTACCCCACTGGGACCCAGTTATTTAAGTGTTAGTGAGAAAAAGTCTTTACCGATGTTCAGTGAAGTTTTTCAAAGCTTTCATTCATTTCGCTTGCTACCATTTAAAACCGAAAAACCAAAAGCAATTCAACGTGATATGCGAACTTTCATTTCTCAGGGGCTGTCCACTTTGCCCAGGAATCAGTGGCTTCGTACCTGCCTCCAATGGAGTCACCTTCATTCCGTGAGTACCCGATATGCAACTGTGTACATAGTCACTCCATTTCTCGAATGGCGACAAAAATCAACCCCCCCCCCCAAAAAAAAAAAATCCCTAGGGTTTCCAACAAAGTGAAATACTAACCAAAAAAATCCCGGAGTCGAAAATTTCAAACCCAAAAAAATCCTTCAATCAACCCCGTCACTTCCAAAGGTATCGACAGCGAAAAACCTAAAGTAATCCGATCAAACAAAATTTGTAGCATTATACAGTTGACTCCCGATAACTCGAACACTCGCTAACTCGAACCTTGCGCTAACTCGAACCAAAATCGATTTCCGCTGGATTTCCGACATACATTCAGTACTGTAATTTTACCCTCGGTAACTAGGACCTTCCGCTAACTCGAAGTAATTTTCGTTTTCCCTCAGATCATTCCTAAATAATGTTACTCTCGATAACTCGAACCATGTTTGAGCCCTTAAAAAGTCGGAGAAAACCAGTGTACTGGCGTCCGAAACTCTGAATTTTGAATTTCCCGTTAACGTGTTCTAGGCATTGTTTACCAGTGGAGGCTGATGTTGTTTGTAACAAATCTAACGTGAAACAGAAAAAAAATCCCAAACAAATCCAAAAAAACGTGAAACAGCAAACAACCCCCCAAAATCCTTCCACTACCCCCGTCACCTGAAATCCGGCGCCCCCCCCCCCCCCCCCCCCCCCCAACCACCACTACCACCCCCACACCACAAAACCCACACACCACACACCCACCCACACACACAGACCAAAGATCCCATAGCATTTAAGATCTTTTAAAGGTATCGATTAAAAGGTATCGACGGCGAAAAACCCAAAGTAATCCGATCAAGCAAATTTGCAGCATTATACGTGATATGCGAACGTTCTATTTCATTTCTCAGGGGCTGTCCACACTGCCCGCCGGGAATTAGTGCCTCGGTACCGGCCCAAAGTGGTGTCGCGGCGTTCACACCGTAAGTACCCGATATGTAACTGTGTACATAGTTACTCCATTCCTCGAATGGGAACAAAAATCAACCCCCCCCCCCCCCCACAAAAAAAAAAATTCGCTAGGTTTTCCAACAAAACCTAAACAACACTCGAGACACCTTGTTTCCGCTCAGATCATTTCTATATATTGTTACTTTCGATAACTCGAACCATGTTTGAGCCCGAAACTTTGAATTTTGAATTCCTCATTGACATATTCTAGGCATTGTTTACCAGTGAAAGCTAATGTTGTTTGTCACAAATCTAACGTGAAACAGCTTTACTTCTCAAAACAGTAAATTGCATGCTCTATTTAGGCAATGTTTTGTTATTTCACGTTCTAATTTATAATCTAGAAGTATCTTTTCTGATCTTTCAATTATCACACAATTAAATGGGTGATTAAAAACTGTTTTTTTCCTTACTCCCGCTATTTTCTTCGAACTCCTGATCAGTAACTCGAACTCCCGATAACTCGAACTTTTTTCGATTTCCCTTGAAGGTTCGAGTTATCGAGAGTCGACTGTACGTGATATGCGAACGTTCTGTTTCATTTCTCAGGGGCTGTCCAAACTGTCCAGGAATCAGTGGCTTCGTACCCGCCCAAAATGGTGTCACCTTCACTCCGTGAGTACCCGATATGCCACTGTGTACATAGTTACTCCATTTCTCGAATGAGGACAAAATCAACCCCCCCCCCCCGAAAAAAAAATCCCTAGGGTTTCCTACAAAACCCAAACAACACTCGAGACACCCAAGAACATCTTCTGTTTCATCAATAACATAAGAATGAGAACTTCAAATTGTTTTGAAAATGCAAAAAATCCCCACGTAAATGATATACTAGCCAAAAAATCCCGGAATCGAAAATTTCAACTCCCAAAAAATCCTTCAGTCACCCCAGTCACTTGAAATCTGGAGTCTTTCCCCCTCTCCTCATAGTATCGACAGCGAAAAACCAAAAGTAATTCGATCAAGCAAAATTTGTACCATTCAACATGATATGCGACGATCTGTTTTATTTCTTAGCGGCTGTCAACACTGCCGAGGAATCATTGGCTTTGTCCGAGCTCGCAATGGTGTTGCCGCGTCGAGCCGGTGAGTACCCGATATGCAACTGTGTACATAGTTACTTCGTTTCCCCCTTTCAGACGCCATTTTTTTTAAAAACATGAGCTTTGCAACGATTACAAAGCCGTGGTCTCACTGCCATAGAACTAACAAAAACAGTGTGCACACAGGGACCTGGTGCCCACTTTTGTGCCCGAGCACAAGGTCTCGACCTTGTACTCGGGCACCGGCACCGTGCCCGAATTCTAGCGTGGGTATGCTTGAAAAAAGGGTGTGTTCACATTAGTGCCCAGCGAGTACCGTACTTGAGCACCGTGTCCGGGCACCAAGTATGAAGGCTGCCTTACTTTTCCGCGTACAACAAAGGAAATAGGACACGTCTGCCGGCACGCAGGCTATTTGTTCCATTGATGTCGAATTCCGATTTTCATAAAACAGAACAGTTTTTTGTGTCGGCATAAAAACTGAAGCTTTCTGGTATGCTGTATACGTAGACATACAGACATATTCAGGTTTATCCTAATTTATCTTATCATTGCATCTTATGTTCCGCAAGGAAAAAGGAAAAGGCCTTTGTTCGAACAAACTGCTGAAACTGGAATGCTTTCGAAAGCTGGCAAAGAGGAAGAAGTGGTTGAGACAGTGTTACGTGTGAAAGCCGCTAAAAAAGAGGTTGTAGTAGTGCCAGAGGATGAAACTGAGGTTGAAGACAATACTTATGTTGGCGAAAGTAGAAGTGTTATTACAAGGTAAGTACCGTTTGAATAAAATTCAGTGGAACCTCCGATGACGGCAACGGCAGCGAATAGATAAGATTTGATAACTTTATTACATCACCTCAGGATATCTCAAATGATAAAAAAGTATTTGCAAAATTATTGATAATCATTTATAAAATTGAGCGAAATAAATATTGCAAAAAGCTAAGACTACTTAAGGTATATATATGTACAGTATATATAAAAAAGAAAAAAAAATTAAAACAAGACATTTTGCTGCATCGCAACATCGTGATTAGCTAATAAATAATTCACGTGATCACTTTTGTCGCTAATGTCATTAAAGATTTGTTCCGATAGTTCCAACAAACCATTTGAATCAGGTTTCGATGATTTTAAAACGATTGAGACCGGCCTTAGAGGCGTTGATACTTGTTAAACATCGGACTGCTTATGGTAGCTGGTTACAATATTTGATAATCTATTTCTAAAGAAGTCATGCGCTGATCTTAAGGAATGATGCGAAATGACTGGGAGATTGCGCGTGTGGTATGCTGAATTTTTCCTGAACCCTGAACATATTTTGACTGTAATCTACCAAGCCTTTCATGATTTTGAAGGTCTCAATTAAGTCACCACGCCTTCTGCATTTCGGTAAGATTGCTAATCTGATACGCTGTGACCTTTGACGATAAGGGAGTAGACCCATGCCTTCGAAAAGTTACTCACAAAGTACATTTGTGTAAAGGTGCCTCCGAGGCATTACTTGTCGACCTCTGCTGAGTCGTTCAACGCTTCAGTTTTCTGAAACTGGTGATGAAAGAAGCCCTGTACCTATAACAAGCTTGAACATTTTACCTCAATAGAGAGAAACATTCTTGTTCCGCGCGAGATCAGATACCGTGACGTCTCGTTTTCAATAGCTTTTTCTTTTTCACCTTTCCCCTGAGAGAAATCGACCTTTCCTCCTGGAGAGCGTTTTTTAAAAGGTCGCGTTTTAGCGAGTGTTTAATTCTGATATGGGTTATATCTGTAGACGGAAGACTAATTCCACCGAAAAAGATGCTTTTTCAAAGAACCGAAAAAGGCGTCTGCTCTCGCAGGCTTCAATACGTGTGGACGCGCCTAATGTTTTTAATGTCTTTTATTATTATTTTGCGCGGGTGGGTGCACCGTGTGCACTCAACATCTACAACATACCTTTTGCGTAGAGGTTCAAAAAGTCTATATTTTATCCGGCGTTTTGAATTTCTAGCGTTTGCGAAAATTGTTAGGACAACAATTACGTTCTTTTCAGTGTGCTTATTTTCACCGAAATAGTAAACATAATTATACATCGCGGACAAGCATCTCACTGAACGTCGCTGAGTCAAAATTTGTTAAATGTTCTGTTTTTCACAATGGAGAATTGTTTGAAATTCGACAACGACAGACTTTGTTTAGCCGTTTTCTTCGCTCTACGCTAAGGGTAAGTTATCCTAATTTTTGGAGGATTAAAGCAGCTAAGGATTGATGGTGAATAATAGACTAAGTTAACATTATATTTATGTTCTGGTAGGACGATTTTTTTGCCTTCAACTCATCATTTAGAAGAAGACTAGTATTGACCCGTGCACTGGGTGCAACAAATCCATTATTGTCCAGTCTCTGTCCCCTATGCCTCCAAAAAAATTACATATTATATTCTCCATTTTATTGTAGATTTTACTCGAACATTGAACTACCATAAGCTATGTTTTGAAAGCAACCGACTTTTTGAAATTTTGACTCATTGCAGAGGAAAAGTGCCGAGTGAAGGTAGCCACTGGGCCCTCAATTTAGGGGCTGCCCATCTTATATTCCATCCAAATGCTGTGTTTGAGCCTACGTCAATAGTGGTCTACAGATGGAAATCCAGTGTCTGCTCAGCCCCACTACAGGAACACGAGGCCATTGTCAGCAATGTTATTGAACTATCTTCCCACGATGGCCAACGCCTGAAATTCAATACCATGGCAACTTTGTCGCTCTCTCACAGCGCACCGGACCTACGGGGCTACGAAGTGGTGATAAAACGGCAGATCAACAAAGAAACCAATGAATGGCAAGACGTGAGTGGAACCGAGGACTTACGCTGTCGCCAAGGTAATGTAGTAGACTTATGGCAACTATAGAGAACCGTTTGGCAGACCCTGTTTCCCTAAGCGGGTGGCGGTGTACGTCATCCGTATTGCTGAAGGGTTTGTTTTGTTTTGTTTTGTTTTTTTTGAGATAGTGTTCATATCAACTGCCGATTGCGCTCTCGATCTGAATCTTGTGTCCAGTCTTGATTTCTATAGCGTCAGTCTTTTTTAGATGGCAAAGGAAGTAAAAAAAGAGCATAATTATTATGATAGTTACATTTTACTTGTATTTTTTGTCGGTAACAGACATCGAAGATGAGCGCCCTTCTCACAAGGATATACCAGACCTTTTATTCCCCGTTGCTCAAGCTGACATAAATGAGTGCTCAACATATGCAGTGGTTTGCCGTCTCAAATCTTCTCCGCCTTACACCATCACATCTACTGGCGGTTTATTCATTCATCCTGATTACCCAGGCGTGACGGTTACTGTTCCCGAGAATGCTGTTGCTCCCGAGTCACCGTTTACCCTGGAGTTAAAGGTCGGTGTGATTCAAAAGGTCCATTTATAAAGAAAGTGTTATCATAAAGGCTTTTTAAAGTGATACGCTTTTTTAAAAAATGACGATCTAATAATGACCAGTCTAGAGGGCTTGACTGAAAAATCGTTTTCTGAATATTGGAGAGATCTTTTTGTTACTTGAATTACGTTTTTATTTAACTTATGGGGAACCTAGGTCAATTTTAAGGCCTAAAAGAATACATGAAATTAACTGCTGGTGATTACTCTTTTAAGTGGTACAGGTGCAAGAAGTTCCAAATGAAGAATTTGGAGAGGAAGGTGTATTTCTTGGACCTATTGTGCGAATTAAATGCTCTGAAGTTGTCCAGTTCTTTAGGCCCGTAACGATTCAGCTACCAGTTTCTCTTCGAGACCAGCAAGACTTTAAACCAGATCCCACTAATTGCTGTGTGAGAGTGTTGTTCCTGAATTGCGAGGAGGAAAAAAAGGAATGGACTGAACTCACTGATCTGGTGAAACCTGCACAGTTTGACGGGAGTTTTGTTAGGATCCAGGTCCAACGATTCTCTGGGTAAAGACGCTAAAAAAAATCATATAGTTATTTAGAATAGATGGACTTTTTTAAAAGCCACTGTTTAACGGATCAAACAATGGTAAGTGTTAGCTCAACTTCATTCAACATTGTTGGACGCAGCATGTTATATCTGTTTTGTGGTGTTTCGATATAGTTTTTCAGAGGCTATACCGATATTTTTCAATCGCTTTCAAAGAGTTATCCTCGTCTGATCGCTATAAAATTTTCACCAGTGATTGACTATAGCTTGAAATTTGTTAAAATGTAGGTTTTAGTAAAATCGATATTACTATGACAACAATAAACAAAAAACTTTGAAATTGATAAGCGTCTAATTTTGCGCGATCTAGACCAGCTACTGAAAATCCAGCACTAGGAACTTAAAGTTTGGTGTTTAGCAAATAACCTCTGAAAGAAGTAAAAAATTCTGTATGTTTGAATTCGACTAAAACGAAAATATATTTCAAACCTTAAATTTTCAATAGCCGTGATAGATTATTTAGTAAAAACGTTAGAAATGACTCAAATTACTCTTAAGTAGCGTCAGAATGCTGCTTAATATCATATTTCGATGCTAATTTTGCTATTTTTTCCAAATTAATGCGGACAATACATATATCCATGGCCAGTGCGTTTCAGTGTGAGTATTGTCAATGTTTTACATTCAAAAGATGCGATAAACTCAAACTAAAATTTACTAGTCATGGAGGTATGTAGAGTGCGCAGTATTTTGGGAAAATGAGCATAACGCCAAAACAGTGAATGTTGTAACGCTGATTTTTGACAGGTTCGTAGGATAGGTTGGTCTTGAAATTTTAAGATGTTGCAGTGAATCAATCTCAATGAAAGTTTCAGACCTTTTTATATACATTATGAAAATTATGTGAAAAGATTTTTAAAAAAATCATTCGCGTCGTTTCAAAGATATACAAAAAAGCGCTAAAAATCCAAATTTTGAATGAAGTTGCGCTTATACAGGTGGTGAGAAAACGGGTTAGTTTTTAAGATCGCAAGAACGAAAATCCCCCAAAATTTCCTAGCAACGAATTTAGATATTAAGCAGCATTCTGACGCTGCGTAAGAATAATTTGAGTCATTTATAACGTTTTTATTAAATAATCTATCACGGCTATTGAAAATTTAAGGTTTGAAATATATTTTCGTTTTAGTCGAATTCAAACATACAGAATTTTTTACTTCTTATGGAGATTGTTTGCTAAACACCAAACTTTAAGTTCGTAGTGTTTGATTTTCAGTAGCTGGTCTAGATCCCACAAAATTCAGCTTTTAACAGTTTCAAAGTTTTTTTGTTTATTGTTGTCATGGTAATATCGATTCTACTTAAAACTACATTTTCACAAATGTCGATCCATAGCCAATTACTGGTGAAAATTTGTATAGCGATCGGACGAGGAAAAAACCACTTTTAATGCGATTGAAAAATATCGGTATGGCCTCTGAAAAACTGTATCGAAACACGTTATGGTGTTGGATGCTGTTGGATCAAGTTTGAGTTCGCCTATCCACAGACGTTTTCTCTTCGACAGCGCGCGCCTGTTTTCTCCTTTCCTCACCTCTACCCCAAACCCGTTGCGCTTGAACACAATAAATTCCCCTGCGGTTTTTATTTCCATATGTGAGCTCGACGATCTACAAAGAGAAAATCGATGGTCTGTGTACAGGCTCGATTGGCGTGTGTTAAACCTGTAAACTGGTATGCGATGGACCATGTCGCAACATGGATTAAACAAAGGCTTTTTTAGTTTCCCATTTGCGAAAAATAATAAGCTCAGAATTTAAACTTTCCGTGCGACATATTGGACAGTTTTAGGGTTAGGTTTTTGGGTTTGTCTAGAAAATGCATCCAGGAATTTACCAAAAATGACAGTTTTTCTTTTAAAACTTTATTTCTCATGCTCTATCCTACTCAGGATAGATATTACTCAAGTGGTTCGCACAAAATAAAAATTCAAACAATATTCTTCAAGTCTTCTCACTCTAGTTGTGGAAAAGAGGTTGACGGCTCATGAACAAAGTACTTACTGGCTTTTTTTCACTTAACACGTTAAGATAAGCTCTTACTAGTTTCCCTTTACAAAAGTACTCGCACTCCTTTTCGAAGTTGATTCGTTATATCAGACGGCGATTACGTAGCACAGCTCAAATTTTATCTGTGCCATTTCAACGTTCATAGCAACTCCCTTCAATCTGGTTTTCACTCTCTAAATTTTGGTTCTTCCAGATATTCCTATCTTCTTGACTGGCGTCAAGAAAACTCCAGTGCTGAAAGACTTGAAATTATTGGCTATATGACCCGATTGATAAGGAAGCCGCGCAGACCAGCAAGTTTCTTCGCTTACTTTCGCCCGGATTTTCCCGAAATTTTGCGCCTTATTTGTTGTCATACACACCTTACAAATGGGGTGATACAAGATCTTGAGAAAAGAGACATAACATATGTTGACGGCAGCTCAAGGCAAGATATGATACCAGGAGAGGACAAGGCATTTGTTTTTGTATCAGGAGGAATATGTCCATTCGGTGATGAGGGCGTAAATGATGATGTTTTCCTCAGGTAAGCTTTTTTTTTATAAATACATCATTTGCCAATTCAAGAACGTGGAGCGCCCACACAAATTTCGCCCCTCACCCCATCCTCAAGATGAACCGCTTTGTAATTGAATAGTCGTGCGAATCGGTGGTTTTAAGAAGATTTTCTTTTTTAATTCCACGTGTAACGTATGGGTGATGCACGCGCTGGTGCAATAGGGAGCTTAAGCAACAACGACCGCGACGGCAACGAGAACGGCAAAAAAGCAATAGGTTTGGATTGGCAAAACAACAGCTCTTCACGTGCATCACGCTTTTTTGTACATTACTTTGCCGTCGCTGCACGACTACGACGTGAAAGTGGCTAATTTCACGTTTTGTCGAGGACATGAACACAAGACAACAACTTTCATTTTCTTTTCCTGAACTTTGATGCAGTCTTTTAGAATTCAACTCCAGGAAAAATTGCCAACATTTGACGAATTAAACGAGATGGGATAAGCGTGATTAAGTTTGCGTAAACTCCCTATTACCCGTAAGGACGATGTCTCTCAGGTAACCGGCCTTATGCTGTAGGCAACTGTAGGACGCCAGTAGGGAGTAAAAATGTTTGTGGCATGTTTTTTTTAACCTATCTTGTTGATTCCGAATTCATCCTAGCCGAGAAAGAAAAAAATGAAATGAAAACTGAATAAGTAAGGCCTTTGTCTTTTTTATTTATTAAGCTTACTGTAAGAGAACCTTTATTACACCATGGATATTTTTGGTTTACATTTGAACAGGTTATTAGAAGACGAGTTCAAGACTGAATTGCGAGTTCGTGTCGTTAAAAACGAAGACCTAGCAGAAATAGAGTTCCATAACACCTTGACACGTGCAGGAAGAAGGAGTCTGTTGTGTAGAATTCACTTGCCCATCCAGAACGTTCCACTTGCGGTTAGTAGATTCAGATTCAGATTTCAGATTATTAAGCTGTATTTCATTTTTTTCAGCATTAAACCCTGTTAAGATGTATAAAATTGCAACGAAAAAGCCTCTGAAGATGAGCATTATCCAAGCCTTAGCTTTTAGTGACGTTTTGAGACCGAGAATTTTAGTGGGAAAAATGGAGCATTAAGGTGGAGCATTTTAGTGGGGAAACAAAAGCATAATGTACAATGGCCTAAAAGGAAACAAGTTTCCCGTAACGTCATCCACTTGTTTGTACTCTAATAGATTCATGGGCAACGATCAATCACAGCGCGCGTAATTTTCGCCACATTGTATAAACTCTTATCGAGCGAGGGTTAGAGGTTAATGTTACGGTTTTTGTTTGCGTTTGCGCTAGGGTTAGGGTCAGGTGACTTATATACAGTCGAACCTGTGTTAAGCGGTTACCTTCGGGGAATGGCGAAGTGACCGCTTAATACAGGGTGACCGCCTAATACTGTTTGCAAGAAACACAGTTCAAAGAATTCGTTCTCCAGTGCTGATTAGATCAGACGTTTGACCTCAAATAGAAACATTCATTTCCGGCGTTTTAATGATTTGCGAAAATAAACAAGGAAATCAATTGTTGTACCTCGTGTGTTACAGTATTTGAAACTGTATGAACAAGTAATTGACACCGTGTGACCGTTTAATACAGGTCAAGACAATAGAAAAAGTCCCGTTGGGACTTCGCAAATGGTGACCGCGAATGTTTAATAGAGGTGACCGCTTAATAGAGGTCGAAATTACAGTGCATCAAGGGAAGTTATTTTCGGGACTTGGAAAACTGACCGCTTAATAGAGGGTGACCGCTTAATACAGGTTCGACTGTACACTCAATTCTCGCCATCTGGGTACTTTGAAGGTATTTAGTTAACGCGTATACCCTACGTCTCAGCATTACTAGTTGGTTTGCTATGTAAAACCTCCTAGTAGATACTCGTGGTAATGGAATCTTTTGACCCTGATTCGTAATTAAAGTGCATGTACGCTAAAATTTTCTACCTTTCATCCCTTTTCAGGCACGTCACGGTTCGATGGAGCATGCGCAAGAACCTAGTAAGTTTTGCTTCTTTATTTCCGCCTATTTCCTTAAAGTTCATTTCGAGAGGGCATTGTCCATCCTCAATAATCAGTGTTTATAAGGTCGGCGTGTCTTAGCTTCAAAAACCTCTGTCGTAGGGCTAGTTGATTTTCTTATTATTTTATAGAAAATCGAAGTTAAAAACACAGCCGTGTTTTCATGGATTTAAAGATGCTCATTTAACAATAATTTCTTGTCTGTTTTCTTTATGACTTATTAATGAGTTTTTGAAAGTTTTTACAACAGCATATCTTCCTACCTCCTCTAGCATTGACCACTGTAACAAGTAGTAGCGAAGTGCAAACGCGGTGAAATTGCACTGATACTCGCCATAACGACGAAGAAGTTAATAAGAATAACAGACTATCATTTTCATTTTATCTTGTCAGTGGGGTCTCATTCTGATCCGACTTTATTTGACACGGTGTAAAACATAAACACGGTTCGCACAAGTTTCAATTTTTTTCCTAAACGAAGGATCGTGTATAACCGTTGAATACTAAATGTCAAAATTAGTGTTGTGTTTGTTAGTATTTTTCTCCAACCATGTCGAAAGTTCTGAGCTCGGTGCGTAACGTACTGAAGCCACTAAACTGACAACATTTAAGTCTGGAAATTTATTGAATTAAGTTATATTAGGCTGTATAGAAGAACATAACACTGCTCTAAGGCAAGAACCAGCCTGGATAACGTCAAATATTTTAGATTGCGGTCACATTTGAAGATCGACGTTTGTCCTGGAGACGATCTTCAGACGTTCCTTTATTCGTCTGAAGCAGACGGACAGAACGTGTTGGACGATCCAAACTCATTCAGACGAACTTAATTGAGGCAGACGTCAAACTTTTCATGAACTTAGCTCACTAAGTTTAGTTCATCTCATGAAAATTTCACCAACCGTGAAGGAGGCTTGAAATGCACGAATCCTAACAGCCACAGCGCTATAAAAAAAAAAAAAAAAAAAACGCATGGAAAACTTCTGGGCAAAAAAAAAAAAAAAAAATTAATTAAAAAAAAAAAGAAAATTTAAAACGCCAAAAGGGAAAAGGAAAAATAAGAAAAAAAAAAAGGGGTGCTGGTGGACGGGGGGGGAGGGAAAAAGGGGACTAGCGTACGGAAGAAAAAAAAAAAGGGAAAAAGAGAACAATCGAATCCTAACAGCCACAGCGCTATAAAAAAAAAAAAAAAAACACGCATGGACAGCTTCTGTGCACAGCCAATCATTACCATTTACTGTCTGATAAAGAGCAAATGTAGAACGTCAAAAAGCAGTAGGTTTGATAAGCAAAACAACAATGGCTTCTGTTGAACTGCGGGTGAAGAAATAACTGAACTTCCGAGAAGATCATCACAATTGAATACGCAGCTTAAATAGTTGCGAAAAGAAAGCCTAGAAAAAAAAAACAGTCTTGCCGGGATTCAAACCCTGGCCCTGCCTTTCCCCCCCCCGCCCCCCCCCCCTACCCCTGCATAGTTTTCTTTTTCGTCCTCGGTTCAGCTTTCGCGCGGCTGAATCTCTTACTTTTCGAACCACACGAGAAAAAAAAAATACCGCTAGCTACGCAGGCTAACGAACCTCTTCTTTTATAAATTTGTACCCCCCTTCGTTTAAATATTCATTAAATTTGTTCTGGATGTCTCATTCATGTGCATACTTTATTCCGTCGGTCTGAAGATGGAGGATCCATCACTTGGTATCTTCATCGATTATTTTCAGTCCTCTCTTACACGAATTTTAAACAGAGGTTTTTCCTTTCACAGAAATCAAAGATGGCATTCCAACACCCGATGAACTGGAAGGTCTGTCACGAAAAATCGGTGACAAGTGGAAAAACCTTAGTCGTAAGCTACAGTTCGATGAAGCACAGATAACAGAACATGACCAGAACAATAATAATCTTTCTGAAAAAGCATACAAATTGCTGATTGCTTGGAAAGGAAGGGACGCCTCAGCTGCAACTTACCGGGTTTTGCACAAAGCACTATCTGACGTAGAACGTAGAGATTTAGCACAAGAGTTTTGTTGTCAGTGAAAAAGGTATTTTACCATTTTCTTTGCATTGTACAACTACTGCAGCCGGATATTGAAAAGTTAAAAGAGACTTGTTGAAAGGTTGCAATGGTTGATGCTCTTGGATGCCTTAACCTGGAATTGCATCGATTTGAACGTTTCATCCACTCTCATTTCGAGCAATGTGGTCTTTTACTAAATCTACTTATCGTCAGCGAAGACCAAAAAAACTAGCCTGATCGTAATTAATTTTAGATAAATAACTTTCTTTTTTATAGGTACTGCTCGTATATGCTCACTAGAAGCCATACGGTCTTAAATTGTGATAAGAATGATAGGAAATAAGTTTTAGCCAATAAGATATCTTTTTCATGTAAAAGAAAAATCATCCAATCCAATTAGAGGTTGATTGGATGGGTTTGATCCGTGTCAGAAATTTCATTCGGTCACAAAACTTGCTTGTTGGTTTTCTGATATGACTGAACCAACTTACTTTCAAGTCGTGAATATGTAAATTGTGCGCGCGCACTTTTCTTACGGTATTTTTGATGTCTAATATCTGTACAACATCAACTAATAAATTTTATTGTCTTTTTTCAAAGTTTGGAGGGGAGAAAGAGAGGGTCATAAGGTACTTTTTCTCATTTTCTTTTAAAGGGAAAAAATCATTCAGCGAGGAGCGAGCGACAAATCTGAGTCTCAGGCTGGGGAGAGGGGGAGAGAAGGAAGAACAACTGCGTGACTTGAAATGATGTTGATTGGATGATATTGAATCAAGCTCTGCGCGCGGAAGAGGCTAATGCCTTTTCGTTAAGCCTTTCTTTCCCTTACTCGCTTCTCTCTTTGGCTCTCTTCTGCTTGGCTGCAAAGCCGTCATAATCTGGGTGGGGTGACTGGGGGAAGAAAAATGGAGGAGACTGCAGTGGTTTCTCTGACTTGGCTTTTCATTTTGTTAAACCATACTATTATGTGCCATTAGTTGTACAATCAAACTTACACACTCTTGTTGTACTGTGGCTTTCTTCTACAGGGGAGTTTCGTACTATTTTCCGACTTCGGTAGAAGGAACTGGAAAAAAACTGAACAGACCAGCAAAACTGAGCACTAAATGAATTTGAATCATCTTTGTAAAGAGACTTCGTGGTTTCTGACGATGGAGGATCAAAAAACTGTGTTTATTCCGCTTTCAAAATATGTGACCTCATCAAAGCAACTAACCCACGAGGAAGAGGAAGGCAGCGTCATAAAATATTTTTGAGACAACGACTTCGCTGGTCAGTAAAATATGTTGGTGATTATTTGCCTTGATCTCAGTTCTTGACACTAGTTATTCAAGGCTTTTAAACCTTGATCGTGAAAGAATTATTTTCACAGCACAACTTGTTTTTTCTCTGTTTTCATTGGTGACGCCGTCGTTATTGCGTAAACTGATCTCTTGTGTTTCCTGGGGCGGAATCAAAGATAGAACTTGGCTTTAATGAGATCCAATATTAAAACAAGGACGCGGAAAATGTCGCGAGTAAAAGTGTTCTGTTGGCCGCTGATCAGAGTTTGCAATATTAAGGAGCTTAAGCAACGACGACAGGACGGCAACGAGAACGGCAAAAAAGCAATAATTTAGGTTTAGATTAGCAAAGCAACAACTTTGCACGTGGACCACGCTTTGAGTTTTTGTACATTTCTTTGCCGTTGTTGCACGACTACAACGTGAAACCGTCTGGTTTCACGTTTATAGAGGACGTGAATACAAGACAACAATTTTCTTTTTCTCATCTTAGATCTTTAGAATTAACTCCTTAAAAATTCCCCAATATTTGACAGAATTAAATGAAAAGGGATAAGATTAATGAAGTTTGAATAAGCGCGAATTCACTTTTT